GGGGCAGAGATGCTGTGCGTCCTGGTCATGGGGCTGGGCACCAAGTATGTGCTCAGGAAATACTGTTAAAATGGAACTCAGGCTAAAGGGAGCGTGGCAGGGAAACAGAGACAGAGAGATGGTGAGTCAAGGGACAGAAAGGCAGAGACCCAGGGCCTGAGATGGAGGTGGGGAGGCAAGACCTGGGGCGAGGGGGCAGAGACGTAGGGGACGGAGGGCAGGCCGGAGGGCAGGACCCCCATGCCTGGAGCCAGGTGTGGGGCCTGGGCTGGCTGGAACTGGGTGCCTGGGCTTCAGGGATCCCACAAGGGCCAGAGAAGGGCCAGGGTCCGGCTGGGCTGGGGGAGGCTCGGGGCTCCAGGGGCATCACGCGGTGCTAATTCAGCGCCATCGATCAGATGGGATGAGAGCAATAAATTATTGTGACAAGATGCAATCCTGGCCCGCGCACTGCCGCCGAGGCGGATCGATCTCTGTCCCCAGCCCCACACCGGGTCCCATGCCCAGGCCTCAGCCGCCCAGGACGCCTCTGCCCACATCTCTCTCCATTCCCCCCACCACACATGCTTCCACTGACAGCCGGGTGGGGCTGCAGCCCTGGGAAAGAGACAAGAACAGAGAGGGACCCATGGAGGGAAGGTTGGCCCCTATCTGCCCCCAGTTCTCTCGCTTCCCTCCACATCCCATCCTTACCACAACCTGGGAGGTAGCAACTGCCATGATGCCCATTTCACAGATGTGGAAACTGAGGCTCCGACAGGGAAAGTAACTTGGCCAAAGTCCCACAGGGGTGAGTGGTGATGCCTGGACTCAAATGTGGGTCAGTATAACTTCAAGCCCCCCAAGATTTCCACTGTCAGAGGGGAGGGCTAGGGACAGAGACAGAAGAGGAGGGAGGTGACAGAGAGAGAATGAGACAGAGAGTGCAGGACACAGAGAAACAGAGAGTCAGGGTGCTATAAAGAGATAGGGAGAGATACAGAGACACTGAGAGAGACAGAAATGGAGAAATACAGAGAACACAGACAGGGAGGGAGAAAAAGAGGACAGACAGAAACAGAGAGATTCAGATTCAGGGATAGGCAGATGGGGGGAGATGGGCAGACAGAGCAGGGATGGAGTAGAGAGAGGGGATAAAAGACAGGTGGGCAGACAGGAAGCAGGAGCTGGGAAAGAGGTGCGAGATGAGTAGTTCCAGAGACCAAGGTGTATCTGGGGAGACAGGTGTGTGTTGGCAAGAGGCTGCTGGTTCCATGCAGCTTGGGGGGCAGGTGGGAGCCAGGATGAGGATGACAACAAGCTCGGCCCAGGGGAGTCAGTGTCAGAGAGAGACAGGTGTGCCAGCAGGGAGGTGGGGCATGTCCGAGGGCAGGAGTGGAGGGAGAATGTGAGGCTGGGGTATAGGAAAGCTGGCAGGTGATTGGGAAGCAAATGATGCCAAAGTGACAAGGTGGACAGTGTCTATGGAAGAAGGCAGTCACCTGATAGGCAGGTGTGGGGGGCAAGGACACCTGGATGCCTGAAGTCAGATGGCCTCAGATGGATGCAAATCTCCAACATCTACCAGCTTCTGAGCCCAGAAATGACTCCATTTCTCTGGGTTCAGTTTCCTTCTCTGCAAAATGGGAATAAGGGTTAAGTGCCTGCCTCATAAAGGTCTTGTGAGGATGAAATGAGACAATGGATATGAAGAACTGAGGACACCGCCTGTCACAGAGATGGGTTTAATAAGCAGTAGCGGGGACATATTAGGAACAGGTGCTACTCGTGAGTGGTCTGTGACCCAGCCACAGCAGCAGCCGTAGCAGCATCACCTGGAGCTTGTTAGAAATGCAGAGTTTCAGGATCCTCATCAGACCTGCTGCACCATGATCTCTGTGGTGAGACCCAGGCCTCTGTGGTCCACAAGGGCTCCAGATCTTTCCGATGCCTGCTGCAGTCTGAGAACCTCTGACTTAAGGGCTTCTGCACGCTGCAGCGGGCAGGTGTGTGGTCAGCTGGGAACAGGTGTTATATGTGTTTAACAAATGCTACAGGTGTTACTTATGCTCACTGAGAAAGGTGTTCCCTGAGGAGGTAGATGGCTGGTGACAGGTTCTATGAAAAGGGACAGGTCTTACTAGAGGGGAGCAGGCTGGAGACAGGTGTAGGGATCTGAAAGTTAGGCTCTAAAGGGGTGGGGGTGACAGGTTGTGTGGGCAGGTGGTTGAGAGGGGTGGGGTGGGTGCACAGCATCTGAAAAAGCTATGAAGGAATGAGGGCTACGTGGATGTGGGGGGAGAAGGCTAGAGGGGGACCCAGTGTTGGGTGTCAGGTGCACGTCTGTGGGGCAGAAGTGGGGAGGCCAGGGGTATGGCAGAGACCCGGATGAAGAGAGAAAGCAGAGAGAGATTAAGGAGATGGCATGTAGAGGGCTCAGTACTTGTTTGCTGAAGAAATGACTGAACGCAGTACCGGAGCAGGTGATGCCTGAGGTAGACAGGTGAGCAACGGGCAGATGTGTGGAGATGTTGGTGTGACCTTGTGAGGCAAGGAAAAAGGAAGTGAGAAACATGGGAAATTAGGTATGTGGGAAGAGAAGAGAGGTGGATAGGTAGTACCCGAAGGACAGGTATACAGGTGAAGCAGGTACCTGTGGCCAAGGACAGATTCCCTGCCCAAACATGTATAAGTGTGAAGATGTGCACTGGGAGACACAGAGAGACGGGGAGGAGGCGGACACAAGGCCAGCAGCAAGTGTGCAGGTGGGGTTGGTGGGGCTTTCAGAGCACAAGGGCTTGTAGGAGACATCATGGCAGGGGAGGGACCGGAGGAAGGAGGACACACATGATGCCTGGGGGCTATTGCATGTGTGAGCCATCAGGTGCGGGGGCGGGGGGGCGCGGGGTGGTTAGGAGACACGTGGGGTTGGCGCATGTGTTGTTGTCTGGGATGAGTTACCTGAAATGGCAGGTATGGGGGAAGACTTTGGAAGTAGGTATACTTATGTTAAATGATGGGAGATGGAGTGTGAGGGAGTTAGGTGCGGGCAGAGAGAGTGCCACGAAGCAGGTGTGTTCTCAAGCGACAGTGCGCGGGACGCTCTT